ATATACAACCACCAACAACCACCAACAACCACCAACAACAACAGCCCCAAGAAATTTTTTCATTTTCAATCCACTCTTAATACCATTAAGCCTATCTCTTGTCCATCCATCCATTCTTCTCCCTAATAACTACCTCCTCTTGGGCCAAGTGCGATCCACTAGTGGTTTCAGACTGCCTGCCAGCTACCCGTACACCACCCATCCGGGGCAATTTTGAATTCCCCAACCTGCCATGCTATCCATCTAAGATCTTGATAATTTTCGTTTCGTCATTCTCCTTCTCAGACCGGCAACCCTCACCGGGATTGACTGTCAATTTGGGCTCCAATAATCCCTTTAGAAATCGTGCCTCTTCGTCATCGTTCGCTTCCACGACAGGCCCTCCCCTGAGACAACAGCGCCCAGTGTCAAGAAACCCATTCCTCGACGACTCAGAATCTCAGGCTTCACTCCTTGCTTCAACTGGGAATATGTCACCCGAAAAGCTTCCATCAGCGGATCCTCCGTCGACCGGACACGTTGCAGAATTATTTGTATGTGCCATGGCCTCTCAACAAACTCGAAGTGTCAAGCATTACCAGCTCAGTTTTCTGTGCCGTACATACTAATGCAGGGCCTATTTTTTTTTTTTTTTTTTTTTTGTAGGAAGACCTCTCTCTTGACAAGCCAGCCGATAAGCCGTCGAATTCAAACGGAAGACGACCACCCCCACGACCGGAAAATGTTCCTCCCTCTGGACACACTCTCTCTGATGATAAAACCTCTTCCCGCCGCCCAGCTCGGAAACTATCCGGAGAAGAATCACAGTCACGCAGCAAGGGAAATAGGCGGGGTCCAACTGGAAACGTCTTCGCAGATCCCAAAGAGTCTTCAAAATCCCGCAGTCAACGTCGACCCCGCCGGAACTCAGACTCTTCCATAATGGACAGACCGTCAAAATCACTCGACCCTGAGGAGGAAAAACGAAGGCGAGAAAGGAGACATCGAGAACGTGATGCTAAACACAAGGACAGCAAATCTCGCAGCAGGCGAACAAACGGCCATAGGCTCGACGTTATTGATAAGTTGGATGTTACCAGCATATATGGGACAGGCCGTAAGGGATCAATTGCCCTCTTTACAAATACTTTTTGCTTTACCTTCTATTTTCTTTTAATCTCTCACTAATGTTCCAATTTACTTTGTTAAGTCTTCCACCATGATGGACCGTTCGATGCATGCAACCCCCACCGCAATCGTAAAGGATCGCGGGCGGCCCCAATGCAAGCTTTCGCGAAGGATTCGAGAAACATGGCTTTGGGCGGGGCTGGCCCTAATAACAGCAATATCGATCTCAATCTCTTCCATGGGCGAGGGGCTGAGGGGTATGCGGATTATGCAAGCACTGGTAGTTTGACTAGCAGCAAGATAGGCCAAAGCACAGCATTCGACCCAACAGCAAAACTGGAACCGATTCATGGGGCTGAAAGTATGGGTTTGGGAACTAGTACATTTCTGGAAGGCGCTCCCGCGAGTCGCGCTGCCATCCAGCGGCGTGAAAATGAGAATGAAGCTCAAAATTTACAAAATGGAGGATTACAGCGCAAGAAGAGTCTCGCACAAAAGATCCGCGGAATTAACAATAGAGATAGAGTCCCACGGGTTACTTCACCAGATTCTACTGCTGATTCCAACAATCAACATACTCAGGCAAGCCCTCCTCGAACTTCCGGCTCCAAGCGACATAACGATAGGAACCCATTCTTCCAACAACAGGATTATGATGATGCATACGATAAAAAAGGTGCCAAGATCCAACTTTCAGATGACATGACTGATAGCCTCCTTCCCCGGACCAGACAACGATCAATTAGTAGCCCAAAGGATATTCTAGGCGAAAAGAGAGTTACAGAAGAACGAAAGTCCAGTATCGGCGGCGGAGAGGACGCAAAGGCTCCTGCACAGACAGCTAGTGGTAGCAGTGGCTTCATCAGCCGAGTCAAAAGCCTGAGAAGACCGCCCCAACCGAAGAAAAAGGCGGTGACGACAGCAGGGGAGTCTTCGTCTTGAGAATATGGCTGTACATCTGCTATGACCGCAACAGTATACATGCGTGGCAGGTCGATGGGATGTGTGGAGGGGAATTACTTGGAAGGAAATCCGATTTGGTAGATGTGCAGCGATGTTAGGCGTACAATTATTGGAATTGGTGGAAGCCTCTTGAATGTTCTTTTTGTCCATTTTTCCATGTCTCCGATTTTGTATTCATTGTTTATTCCGATGACTGTTTCGTGGGTTGTTTTCTATGTCTTCTCCTTTCATTTATTTTTTACTTTTTTTCTTATTAAATCACGATCCTTCATTGCCCTTTCAGGTGCGCCAATTGTTTCTCTTCTCTTCTTCCTTTGCTCAAATTATTTCGAGGCTCCCTGCTAGCTAATTATGTTTCATTTTTTGTGTGTATTCGTGTTCTTTCCATTTACTCTCACATTCACCTTTCCTCATTTGTGTTGGGTTTTCTTGTATTATTTTTCTCCCTCATAATTCATGGATGCCAGGCAGGATTATTTAGGTTAGTATAACAGTTTAGTTTGTTTTCTATCCCTCTCTCTTATTCATTTCTTGGTTTCTTTTATATTCTTCTATGAACTCCTAGTAGCCTCCAGGCCGGTACCAGGCTGTACATGTCTTGCATGCAACCAGTCTGTCTAGGTTTCATTAAATTGAATAGTTGGCTCAGTAACAACCTTTTTTTTTCCTGATTTCCCCTTCTCATCTACACAGTAGTTATCCCTTTTTTTTTGCACCTCCTCTTTTTCTTTCATTTCTTTCATTTTTTCTTGCTGATATTTCAACTTTTTAATCTTCTATATTCTATATTATTTTCTTTCTCTCCTTTTAATCATTCCCCCCCCCCCCCCCCAAAAAAAAAAAAAAAAAGGAAATTGACTGGGAAGTAAGTCTCTTTGATATCTACTCACTGATTATATATTCGTTGCGTCATCATGCGATGCTCTGCTCTCCTGCCCTATCATGCTACTTTCAATGACATACTTCAATGAAGTCTTGCCTTTCTTAATTTTTTTTTTATTTTGGAGGGTAAAATGTTGGGAAATGTGCCTGTAATGAAAACGTCTCCTAAACATACCAGAAGGTAAAATAACGAAAACGTATATACAGTATTAAAATATTTAACTTCCCTATATACATACATACATATGCTGGTCGGTGGTCTGGAGAGGATAGTGAAACTCCAAACAAGAAACACCACGATAGAATATCACGGGATTATCCTCTCCTTGGAAACGCAGACACTTCCAACAAAATAATCCATATATAACTTATTACTTCACCGGGCCCTGGAAGAAACCCAAGCGTCCAAATCACAACCCAAGACCAGCAAGCAGCCTGCTGCTTCTTCTATCTAGCCTGCATTACTTCTCCTTGTGCGCATCGCCACCATCACTCGTTGAAGCGGCAATGGCGACGGCGCTCTTATCCCCCGTGCAGGCGTATCCACCAGCATCTGCGGTTTGAGCAGAGGTGGCTAATGAGTAGTCTTGATCGTCCCTGTCCAAGACGTCTTTGCGCCAGAAATCTTTCTTGCTGTTTTGAGGTGAAAGTGGGAATGTTAGTTTGGCCGTTATCATATATATATAGGAGGCAAAAATATGCGGAATCAAATGAAGGAAAAGCATACCCATGCGCCAACCGAACTAGCCAGCCGGGCAAGATCCCACCCGGAATCCTCCACGACCACGGCTCTTTCAGGTCCTTGTTATGCGGGACGAGGCGGCCGCCCGAGACCTTCTCGAGGACGAAGGCCACCGTATTGAGCAGGATATACGACATAATCCCCGCAATAAGACCATACGCGATCGAGTATGTAAAGGGCATCACCGCCAGTGTAACAAAAGCGGGCACCGCATCACCGATATACGACCAGTTGATATCTGATGCGACTTTGGTCATCATCGACCCGACCAGGACGAGCGTGCAGCCCGTCGCCCACGGCGGGATCGAGGCGAATATAGGCGCGAAGAAGATGGAGACGAAAAAGCAGAGCCCCGTAACCATAGCGGTGATACCCGTGGCGCCTCCTTCGGCAATCCCGGCGCCTGATTCAACGAAGGCTGTCACGGGGGACAGGCCGAGGAGGGAACCAATGGGAGATGCTAAATGCATCCACCATATAGGCGACGGCTGATCCTTCGAAGTCCTGCGTTCTCTCGTCAATTGCGCCACAGTAGCGCGCCATGGAATATAACGTGCCTGTCGCATCGAGAATGTCGACGTACAGGAAGGTTATAAACGCCAGGCCGAATTGGCCCCCTGCGCTGCCGAGATTCCAGTCCTGGGCTGCCAATGTCTTCCTGATGGGGTGGAAAGTGACGACCTTTTTGAAGAAATCGAATGAGTCGTCTCCCTGGGGATTGTGTGGAAAGAAGGTGACGTTTGTCGGCCGGGGCCAAGAGATGATGGACACGAGGAGGATACCGGCAATTATAGCGCCCTTGACGCGGTACATGAGGAGGAGGCAGGTGAAGACACCACCACAGAAAAGACCAACCCAAAACGTTGGGTTGCGCATTTTGGCTCCGGAGGGACAAACGCCATCTATCATCTCGCTCTCCACACATCCAGCAAGAGAGAGTGGTGTTGCTTGGTCACCAGTGATGGCACCAATACCGGCACTGTACGTTAAGCCAATGAGAGCTATTTTAAAATCAAACAACAAAGATATCGTTAGAGCCCGTGGCCTTGGGGAGTTTTTATAGGATAGAAAAATCAAAACCAACGCACATAGATAGAGCCCAATACCAGCACCCGAGGCGAGTTTGATCGACCGTGGAATAGCTCTTGCAAGCCATTGGCGCATACCGCATACCGACAAACCCACAAAGACAAACCCTTCAATGAAGACAGCGGTAAGCGCAAGGCGATAAGGAACGGGGCCAGTGCCACGGAATCCAACAACGTTATACGTGAAATATGCATTCAAGCCCACTAGAAGCGAAGTTGCTTTATTAGCCACTTTTGTTTTATTTCGTATATTTTTTTTCTCCGAAAAGAGGGAGCAGTACTTCCAGGAGCCAGAGCGATTGGCATATTGGCAAATAGACCCATACAGAACGACGAAAGGGCCGCAATCGCTGCAGTGCCCGTAATGAAGTCCCGTCTGAGCGCATTCAAACACAGCTCGTATTCTGTGTTTCCGGCACATGTTGGGTTTTCCTGGTCGCTGCAGATGCATGTGCCTCCAGATTGAGTCAGGATGTTGGAATTGACCTTCCAGCCCGTTAGCATTATTGATGTTCTTGTCAAAGCCACAATGGGTACTACTAGTATATATACAGAGGGGCCCAAAATACATACAGAAATGATGTAGGCCATGGCAAAGAAGGTGGTGAGGCCGGCGCGGACTTCAGTCAAGAAGCGCGATCCCTTCCGCTCATGTCGCTAGGTGAAACAAGAATATTATATGGTCAGTCTGTAAGGCTTCTTCTTCTTGCCCTGTCTTTCTATCTAATTCTTTTTTTGCTTGCTTACATGGCCAGAATTTTCTAGCCTGAAGCGGCGGCCGATGAGGCTGTCCGCGACCACACGGTTGATGGCCATGCCCCAATTCTTCATCTTGACACGCCGTGCTCAAGGCAGGGAAGAGACACCACCTGGGGAGCGATTGAGAAAGGGCGAAATGATTCTTATATTGACTTGAAGAGAATGAGAGTTCAAGGAGGGGAAGCAAAGGAGCGATGCGCCAGCTCTCTACGGAGTATAAACAGCGGCATTCATCTGGTGGCGTATTTAAAAGAACGGGATTTGTCAAATCCTCCTTTTTTTTTTTTTTTTTTTTTAACTTAGCTTCTTTTCCGTGTTCTCCATCTTTTTTCTCTTTCTCTTGATGGAGGATGGAGATGCGGCGGTTTCATTGGTTCTCTTGTGGCTTTTAACGGGTCCGGCTCGTGCGCTGATGCAAGAAACACGAGCGTTCTACGCGATGCAAGCCAGCCGATCATGGAGCGCCAGTCAAACAGATAATTTTGCAGTTTCTCACGCCCTCATCTCTTGCTTGGCTCAGGCGACCTAGATCTGCCAGAGTCGGACGGTCTGAACGTTGCTGGGACGGGCTTTTTTTTAGCATGATGGCTTCTAGATAGAATCGGGTTGTTGAAAGAGCATAAATGTGCAAACTACGAGCATACATATCCCCTCTCATATCCGTAGAAGATATGCATGAAACTAGACTAGGAAAACGAGAAGAAATTAAGATAGGGAAAAAATAAAACCAGTATTGTTTAATGCATCATCCGTGAATCGAACACGGGCCTCATCGAGTTTGATCCCATTAAGGAATGGCAACGATGAATTCTACCACTAGACCAATGATGCTTGTTGCTTGGAGGGAGACATGTGATCAAACTATTAAGTATAAATAATGCGAAAAACGGAATATGTCATTATCGCGTTTTCGCGACTACTTAATAAATAAATTCAAAGTCGCTCTTCACGAAATACTCAAAAGAGTTGACCAATTTATTTATTTCTGCATTCGAATCCATAGACCTGCTACCACCTTATCCTAATAATAACGAAGTTAACTGAGTAACCCCAAAAATCCAGCAGGAAGATTACAGTTTCCATTGAAAGAATGCCCGTCGTGCGCAACCGCCGTCGCGCCGTACGTCTTCTACCATATCTAATTGTTTCCTTCTTCCCTTACAGGTCAAATCGAACCTTCAACGAGGTTTTCTGAGAGTTCGAACTAACGCAACGATTCCTCTTTTTTTTTTTTTTTTTTTTTTTTTTGAAACAGCCCGACGACCAAGATGAGTCGAATGTGAACTCTGAGGCATCGTTCGATCCCCAGCACGGTCACTCCCAACGACCCACACAGCAACAAAAACGACAGCGGCGCCCGGCCTCTGATTCCGATTCAGATGCTTCTACAGATGACCGGTCGACGCCGGAGATCTCCACCCAGCTTCACAGAGCCATTGAGGTAATGGTCAAGAAGCTTGTACGACTCGCACTGGCGAGCGAGTATTCGCGGCAGGTCATCCGGCGAACCGATATCAGAGACAAAGTGCTGGGGGAGCAAGGGTCGAGGCAGTTCAGGCAAGTCTTTGAAGGAGCGCAGAGGGAGTTGATGGAGAAATTCGGCATGCAGATGGTGGAGCAGCCATTGAGGGAGAAGGTGACGATTAGTCAAAGGAGAGGTGTGTGTTTTATTTCATGTTCTTTCCCCTCCCGTTGACTTTGAGCTTTCAAAAACGTAATATTCCTTCCCTCACCGTGCTTGCCAGCACACGTAGGGGAATATCTAAACATGCATGTGGTGAAAATACGTTTAACCAATTCCTCGCACCGCCAGCCGCACAACGCACCGAGCGACCTGCCACTACCACCAAAACCTGGACTCTCACAACCATCCTCCCCGCCGCTTACCGGACCCCAGCCATCCTCCCGCCAACAAGAGCGCCCTCCTCCGTAACCGAAAGCACCTACACCGCCATCTACACCTTCATAATATCCACCATCCTGCTCTCCGGCGGCTCCATACGCGAACAGAAGCTAGACCGCCTTCTCCGTCGCGTCAACGCTGATAACTTCACACCCATCGACCGCACGGATAGGCTGCTGGCGCGCCTATGTAAGGAAGGTTATATCGTGCGTAACCGGGAGATGGATGGTGGGGAGGAGGTTGTGGAGTATCTTGTTGGGCCTAGGGGAAAGGTTGAGGTAGGTGTCGCGGGCGTGTCTGGGCTGGTACGGGAGGTGTATGGGTTTAGTGAAGGGTCCCTGGATGGGGGTGACAGCATGGATGCGGCGGGTAAGAGACATTCGGAGGTGGAGGCGTTTGAGAAGAGGTTGAAGAGAAGTTTGGGGATTCGGGAACCGTTGCATTTGGGGAAGGAGGATGGTTATGGTGATGGAGACAGTGATGCTTGATGACGAGTCTGTCATTCATTTTTTATATCCTCCTCCCGAATATGTTGGTTTAATAAAATCAAACTTATTGCATGTATTTCTTCCCTACTTATTTTATTTCCCCCCTTTGTTGGTGAGGGAGGATTTACGATTTCAATGTTGTCTTTTATTCTTTCTTCTTTTTACAATTTCTGGAGCGTATGATGTCAGTTTTCAAAAAATAAATGGTTTAAAATCTATATGTTCTAACTCTCTCCGCTCTCTACTAGATAATTGCTCTTGGAATAAGGCAAATAACAATCAGTGAAACGAACCAGGCCTTCAGGGCTAGCTAGTCCTAAGCGCCTTTTTGTCCATATAACGGGAAGCAATATATATCCCTCGATATTGCCCCAATGTCCTTGGGCAGGGAAGAAAAACCTCTTATTGGAAGAGATAAGAGAAAATATACGGATGTAACAGGGAAAATGCGTATATGTATCCGTGTTTGTGCCACGAGGGCTTTTACTCTCTTGCTTATATATGTGGGTATATATCTATATATGGACAACTTGCTTTTCTCGCAGCGTAAGGGGGGGAAGAGGGGGAGGGGAGGGGGAGCAAGTAAGTATAAGAATGGGAATTAAAAGGGGAGAAGGGCCCCGGGTGGGGAATGCATGGGCTAAATACCGGGATAAATAGGTAAGAGGGGGATAACAAATAACTCGACGGTAAATGGAGGGACGGATACTGCAAAAAAAAAAAAAAAAAAAAAAAAAAAAAAAAAAAAAAAATCGGACACAACAAGAAAACAGACGCTAAACAACAGCAAATCATGCATGTGGCACCCAAAGGCAGTTTTCCCCCTTATTTCTTCTTCCAGCTTTCTTTCGTTCTGTTTTTCGCCTCTTTCTTCTCTTTTAGCTTTTCGCATACGCGAATGGAATTTAATCAGAAACGTTGAATTGATCTAATATAGCCGAGGAAGAAAAACGAGAAGAAGGCTCATAAACGGGACATTCTCTCACATCCACCCAAGCACTATCTGTCCTCACTCAGAATCACTCGCGCTATTCCCCGCCCGCGCATCATCGCCATCACTATCAGGATCATCTTGTAACCCCAGCCCCTCATTTAGTAGATATTCCGCCTGCCTCAGTTCCTTTCGCAGCTCCTCTGGAATCATATCCTGTAATCGGGAAGGCGTCTCGCCATTTTTATTCGTTACGCGCGGGTCGCAGCCGGCTTCGCACATCATTTTAACCATTGTGATGGCATCTGTGACAGAATTGTAACGGCTCTTGTCGTTTGCGTAGCGCGCGACGAGGTGAAGGGGGGTTTCTTTGTCGAGTCGAGTTCTTGGGTCGCATTCGAAAAATTCTATATCGAAGAGGAAGTCGGCTGCGTGGTCTGTGGTTGAGCGTATAGAAATAAATTGTTAGATTTTCTTTATTCACCCTTGTTCCTTCTTAGAAGTGGGATTGCATGGTGTACGTATGGTGGTTGGGGTCGCTAGATATAAGGTAATGGAGAGTCGGGCGTAGAGTCTATAGTTATGGACAGAGGCTATGGCACTCACAGCTTCCATGCATAGCACAGATATGAAGCGCATGATTGCCCAAGGGATCCGTAACGCTGTTAAAAAACGCAGCAATTTCCTCATTTGTTTTCTTCCCACTCTCCATCTCTGTAAGGACTTCTTCTAGGGCATCCGTGTTATCTTCCCGGCAGGCGGCGGCAACTCTCTCAGCAGGACTGGCTCCCTAAAAATACCAGAACTTTTGTGAGAAATTTGCCATTTTCACTACATTTGAAAGAAAGGATGAAAGGTATGGATTGACTCAACACACCTCATCGTCCGCTATTCTCTTGTCATCCTCCGGGCGCATTGTGTTGTGTCTATTGCTTCTAGTTCGCCTGAAAGAAGGTAATTGCAGCCCGACTGCGGGGTATGCTATGGGGTTTCGAAGTTTGGTCTAATTTTTGAGACGCCTATGAATACGAAAATAAGAGTGCGTCAAACTTTACTCATGTGGAGTTGTCACAGAATAAATAAGCAAATCAACACTCAACGGTGAAGCTGGAAGCCTGGAGTTGATGATGCGGGGCGGGACGACCAACCAAGCGCTAAGCTCTGATGCTTCTCCGCTGTAGTAGTCAACAATACGAAAGTATTTTGACCTTGCAATGTAAAGCCGCGATGGAGGAGAGGCTCGGTATAGTCGCAGTCTTTATTCTTGCTATTAAGGTTGTGGTCGTGTTGAGTGTTTGTATCAGCCAAGCCTCTGGATCTGTACAAATTGTTACAGGAACAAATATATTCCGGCTAGCCACGCAGATGTGCGGCGCTTAATTCAAGGGATTTGATAGAACAAATTAGTCGCGCGGGAATGTTTTGCTCGCAGATCGGCCAATAAGACATAGTGGACGAGACCCACGGCAGCACATCTGGAGAGCAACGGTGCGCGATGCAATGAGCTCACACACTGTATCCATTTTTGGAAATTCCTCGGTGTGACAATGGTATCGCTACCTATAATATACTATATCTCTGGATAGTCATTGATTCAATCAATTCAATCGTCTGAGAATTCCAGCCAAAAATGCCTTTGACATGTGAGTCTTTTCAAAGCTTCACCCCAATACTTTGAATGGCCTGCAAAGTTTCTCGTTAAATAGGCCACCATTTGATTCGCAAAATGTGTTTTTAGTTTGTCCAAACTGTAGCAATGCCCTTACCATCTCCCGAGCAGATCCCAGCCCTCGCTACCCACTAGGTGTCAACAGATTCGAATGCCGCACTTGTCCCTACCAATATATACTCGACCGAACGTACTACGAGAGGACGGAGATGAAGCGGAAAGAGGTTTCTGATGTGTTGGGGGGGAAAGATGAGTGGAAGAACGCTGATAGCCAAGGGAGTGAGTCACCAACCACCTAAATACATATATTGAATGACCATGGAAATTTTCGAGCTGTTCCATTTTACTCCCCTGATTGCCCCATGCTTTGAGGATTTCCCCTTTGCTATTTTGGTCATGCTCTGTCCCTGTATCTGTACAACGACTGCTGATTACCCTCTTTCTCCATCATTATTATTTGCAGCGCAATGCCCAGCGGAAGGCTGTGATGGCGACCGTGCATATTTTTACCAATTGCAGATTCGAAGCGCCGACGAACCAATGACTACGTTCTTCAAGGTACGATATAAGCTTTAGAAAAAATCGGGACTCCTGCCGGTTCCCTGCCTCCTCCCTGCCTCCTCCCCCTCCCAACTTTGGAGCTTTACAAGGGAAAGGAAATCCACATATGTTTGCAAACGTAAACAAGGGAAGACCAATGCTGACTTGACAACAAATTGCAGTGCACAACCTGCGGGGCTCGATGGAGAGAAAACTAGGGCAAAGACAACTCATCGAGTCACCTTATGAACGAACTAACTACCCTAACTTTACTCCTGGTTTGGTCGTCGTTGTGGCTCAAGGTAGCCTAATTTACGGAGAGGCTGATACAACTAGCATCTAAACAAGTTTCTCTCCGATTCTTTCGACCTTTTGAAAAACAAAATACATGTACTGCTATTACGTCGATACTCCCCGAATCAAAAATTCAAGATATGCCAAATTTGGCCATAATACAAAACAGCTGTAGCATTGTAACATGAACATCTGGGACTGAATAATTCGAGTGGAGAGATTAGCTGATTTCATGTCTGATGGTGGGTATGGAAAATTGCTCTACTATAATTGACGTTTAAGCCAATGTCTCCCTAATAGCCAGCAATAAAGGCAGTTCAGTTATCTTTTGGTCCCAATTTCCAAAACCAACGACACTTATCAAAAAGTGGTCACTGTAGTGGCCCTGAATGAGCCCCGCCAAAAATACAGCGAGTAAGCACGTGACGTACAAAAATGGCCTAGTAGGCTCGCCTCCTGCACTTTCCCCCGCCCAGAAAGCATACAAAAACCCCTCTCTTCGCACAAAAATTTTTTCCCTTTCCCTCTTCCTCTGCTCGTCTGCTTCAGTACGTATCCTCTCAACCCTCATGCACCGCTTCCTCTCCCCGTTCCAACATCCTACCTCTCCATAGCTTTTCCATATTATCTAACTGACCTTTCCAGCACCTCTACGCATTCTTGGCCGTAGTATCTGAGCGTTCTCCTGGTCTCTTCTAGTCTCTTCCAAAGAACTACAAGATATCGAATTTTTTTCCATCCCAAACTCTCCCAATTTTCACATTTAAATCCCGCCACCATGGGGTAAGCATCCACCTATTCCATCTTGATTAATTTCTTCGACTAACTCTGGCGTTTTTTCCCATCACACAGTAAGGAAGACAAGACTCACATTAACCTCGTCGTCATCGGCCACGTCGATTCGGGCAAATCTACCACCACTGGTAAGCAACCCCTCCTAACACACTATGGCTGTATCGCGAGACCTTTCTGACCACTATACGCTCGATAGGTCATTTGATCTACAAATGCGGTGGTATTGACAGCCGTACCATTGAGAAGTTCGAAAAGGTAAAGAAGAATTTTTATCTTCATTTTACTTGCAAAAATTTTTTTGGCTCTGTTACCCCTCTGTTTTGGTTTTCGCTAGTTCCCCGTCTGCAGCCACAATACATCCAGCGCAACTGACCCATGCATTGCCCCTCCACTTGGCATCATTTTTCTCCAACCAATCATAATTCTCATTCGTGCGCTTTGTGATATTTTTATTTTCGGGGAGAATTTCCCCGGGAAAACAGGCTTTGAAATTTCCCTAAACATATTCTAACTGTCTACCTATAGGAAGCCGAAGAGTTGGGCAAGAAATCCTTCAAATATGCGTGGGTCCTTGACAAACTGAAGTCTGAGCGTGAGCGTGGTATCACCATCGATATCGCCCTCTGGAAATTCGAGACCCCAAAGTATAGTGTCACTGTCATTGGTGAGTTTTTTTTACCCCTCCTAAGCAGATTTCAAACTTCCAGAGTATCTACTCTAACATATCCGCTTAGATGCTCCCGGCCATCGTGACTTCATCAAGAACATGATCACTGGTACCTCCCAGGCTGACTGCGCTATCCTCATCATTGCTGCCGGTACTGGTGAGTTCGAGGCTGGTATCTCCAAGGATGGCCAGACTCGTGAGCACGCTCTGCTTGCTTTCACCCTTGGTGTGAGGCAACTCATCGTTGCCATCAACAAGATGGACACCACCAAGTGGTCCGAGTCCCGTTTCAACGAAATCATCAAGGAGGTTTCCAACTTCATCAAGAAGGTCGGATATAACCCCAAGGCTGTTCCCTTCGTGCCAATCTCTGGTTTCGAGGGTGACAACATGATTGAACCCTCCCCCAACTGCGCCTGGTACAAGGGCTGGAACAAGGAGACTGCCTCTGGCAAGTCTTCTGGTAAAACCCTTCTCGATGCCATTGACGCCATTGAACCTCCAACCCGTCCTACCGATAAGCCTCTCCGTCTTCCCCTCCAGGATGTTTACAAAATCTCTGGTATTGGCACTGTTCCCGTCGGACGTGTTGAGACTGGTGTCATCAAGCCCGGTATGGTCGTGACTTTCGCTCCCTCCAACGTCACCACTGAAGTCAAATCCGTCGAAATGCACCACCAACAACTCCAGGCTGGTTACCCTGGTGACAACGTCGGCTTCAACGTCAAGAACGTTTCAGTCAAGGAAGTCCGCCGTGGCAACGTTGCTGGCGACTCCAAAAATGATCCCCCCAAGGGCTGCGAATCCTTCAATGCCCAGGTCATCGTCCTTAACCACCCCGGCCAGGTTGGCGCTGGTTATGCCCCAGTCCTCGACTGCCACACTGCCCACATTGCTTGCAAGTTCTCTGAGCTTATTGAGAAGATCGACCGCCGTACTGGAAAGTCTGTTGAGAACAACCCCAAGTTCATCAAGTCTGGTGATGCTGCTATCGTCAAGATGGTTCCCTCCAAGCCCATGTGCGTGGAGCCCTTCACTGACTATCCCCCTCTTGGACGTTTCGCCGTCCGTGATATGAGACAAACCGTAAGTTTTTAAACTCTTCGCTATTCATATATGTGAACCAGTTGACTAATTACCTTAAACCCATACAGGTCGCTGTCGGTGTCATCAAGTCCGTCGTCAAGTCTGACAAGACTACTGGCAAGGTCACCAAGGCCGCGCAGAAGGCCACCAAGAAATAAATTGGCTAGGCCCCAACACTCCCTCGGACAAAAAATGCCAGAGCGACAAAAAGAGGGGATAATCAAATACATGGCCGTCTGGGTGATGAGCAAATAGGAGGCGTTTTACTTTCTCCCCTTCCTCATTACATGTGAAAAAGCGGGCGAAAAAGCGGGCGAAATATGGCGACTTGGTTTCATTCTCCCTGCCATACCCTCCTTTGCATTCCCTGGATTCCCCTCTCCCATTTTCCTTGGCATTTATGTTTTTTCGTGTCCTCCCTAGTTAAAAAGGAAAGGTGGCTTTACGATTTATTTTCTCTTTTTCTATTAATTAGATGGGCCTTTCTTACAAACAGCACCTTCCCCTCCCAAATCCCCTTTCCTTTTTGTTTTCCTTTGTCTTTATGAGTACGAATCCCAAAAATTCCAAATATTAATGACCGTGTTTTTACCCTTTTTTTAGAAAGTTGGGCTCTCTTATTCATAATCTCCGTTATTCGATGTAGTTTAAACCTCATGCATACAATTCTTTGGTGCATTGGGGAAGGACAAAACAAGCAAAATTTAATAAATCATAAATCATGATGCCAAGTGAATGCCGCCTATCATGAGAGGCATTTTATCACATCTATGGGTGGCATGTCACCCCACCGTTCCCCCGCCATGCCTGACCTACGCAGTATAGTCCTCTGATGGATGAGACCTCTGAGTTCTACCTATTGTTTCACTATTAGTTATTGAAAAGATCTTATGCGAGTAATAACACCTCCTCTTATAATTTAATCGATATTTTACGATTTCCCCCTTGAGTCCGTATCCCTGCAACGGGATCGATTGTACTCCGTATTGTGACCAGCCTCGTTTCACCTTCAGAATAGCGTGGAAGCCACCTAGCCATGTGAATGGTCTTTAAGTTCTATGTACTGTACGCTGTAGTTACATCTACTTGGGAACACTTGAGCAACGGCGGGAGCATGTCATGTTCAAATTCTTTTTGATTACGTGGGCCGAATTGAGGGAAACTCGAAATTTGCTTTACCCCTGGATTTGCAACATTGCATGCATAATGACAACGAGTATAACGAGAATCATGCTATGCTATGGATAGAAGCAGTTCATCGCCTCCCCATCGATCTCGACTCTGAGTTCCAAAGGCTAGCCAATGGGATGGGGCTCGCAAACGCGACAACCAATCGTACGCCGGCACACGACCTTTCATACGGATAGCCCGTTAGTTGGTAATTATTACCGCCATATACGGAGATAAATTACAACCAATGGCCAGTAGCCACATACGGAGTCAGGTGCCTTGGTAAAGCGCGACCAGGGACGTCATGTTGGCTGTTTTGGGCAGTGGGTATTAATACCAAGGCTGTGGCAGAGAAAAAGCCGCATCCAACCCCATTCCAGCAATTCTCGAAATCCAGACACTGTCTCCAATTCAACTTCGCTCTACTCCGTACTCTCTATATAAACATCCAGCTAATGCTAAGAAGAAATATATATTCTCCCATTTACGAGCCGATATTACTGTTTTTTGCACGTTGGGTTCCATCTCCTTGGACTTTGATTGAGCTCGTCCCGCTCGCTCTCCTACACCCTCTAAACTGGGTCAACTACCTGTTGAGCTGATACTTACGTTGATGAGGGATAGAATTTAGCCCAGAGACCGACAAAGGTAAGCAATGCGCCCACAGTATCTATCACAAAAATCCTCGCTCTCAGCTTCCCTGTGTTGAGGTTGTGCAAACCAATTGAACAGAACGTTCCCGCTATCTATCCCTCTTCTTATTCCATCCCCCTTGTTTGTTAAGTATGATTGCTGTTCCCCACATTATTGATTCTGCAACGCCTGGATGCATGCCTTGATTGCTCAGTCGAGGTTTCATGCCCCTCCCTTTGACCGAGTCATACATGAGCTTCTTCATCACCCAATTACTTTGGGTTGTTGAAGCAAACGGAGATGAAGGAGGGCTTATGTAAATTCTCGAGCGAAGATGAGGAATGGAGGCAATAAAAAGGATATGGCTTCGCAGGTAAAAGAAAAACCATTTGCGAGCAAAATCAACATATTTAAGAAAGTAAGAAAACAGGCAGAGGATACAAGGCCTACAGGGGAGGGGTTTCAGGTTAGGCGGAGAGACTTAACCAGGTTCTTCATTTGTTTTGTTTCCTTCTTTTCGAAGAGCAGCATACTTCTCTATCTTGCTTCAACTGCTTTCTCAAAAGCCCAGAAACTAATTAGGATCAGCAGCTCAGTTACCTTTTATCTGACCGTTCGCTACTATCCAACCGGTAAGACGCGATGTCGACGAAAACAGTTCCAATAGTTCCTCCGCGTCCATCACGGTCTCCAAATACCGTATCGTCTCAAATGCCAAAAGTGCCTCCGCGCCCAAACAGCCGCCGCGTCGGTCGCTCTGTGTCCCCTAATCACGATGGCTATGCTCCGTCACCATTAAACGAATTGCCAGCTGGGTCGAGTACGAGAAATCAACATTCTAGCGATGCTTCCAATACCCCCGCTCGTCCTCCGAGTGTTGCTCTGCCGTCGGTTGGTCAGGAAGGGATGGAATATGAGGGCCTAGATTACCAAAATGCAAGCATGGAGAACAAGGAGGAAAGCCACGACCCTCCTGTGGAAACACGAAATGTGAATCGCGACCTACATCTTCACGCTCCGAAGCCATCATTGCCATCTTCCAGCGCTGAAGCGCAGGTGCGGGCCGTCACCAGAACCAGCCCACAACAGGCTGCCGCCGCGGGTTTTGGGAATGCTACATCCTCCCCTGACCTCGATGATATGGATCGCCCGGGGTCCGGAAATTTAATGCCTAGCCTGTCTCAACAGGTATCCTCTTTTTCTTCAACAAACCGTAGGACATCCATACAGTATGGAGAGGAAGGAGGTATCCCTGAAATTGGCCAGCGTGTACCAATGGACCCTAACGCAGGCGATGTGCAGGCCCCGTCGCCATCTCCGTATTGTGATGAAGGGCATCACCACGGAGTAAGTAGCGGTGGGCAACAGCGAGCCGGGAACATCCACCAGCGTCCTAAAAGTAGTCGAGAAAACTCCCTTCCACCGGGTAGTTATGGGCTTCACGGCCATGGAGTTCACCCGACTGGCAATTTTGAAAGAGCTTGGTACGACAAACACCCTGATGAACTGGCACGCGAAGAACAGGGCCTGTATGGACCAGGCCTAGGGCATGAACGGCCTGAGTGGGCTTTAAGCGGTGATGATTTGAATAGGATTGTAAAGACATCCGCGAGCACAGGTCTTGGTTTGGGTAAGATACGATTCAGTTAGAAGAATTATACGCACTCTTGATATTAGGAAGTGAATCTAACTCTTTATAGCAACTCATGCGAACGTTCCAGGCATACCCCAGGAAGAGCTGGCATACATGGCGACCGACGAACTTGCTTCTCGGCTTGCGTCTGCACCTCCTGAATCTGCTTCGTCCAAGGGTGAGTATCATCAGTCACAGGACTCAGCAGAGAACCCCCTTAAGGAATCTATTGTTACAACAGCAGCAGATACTAAATGTAGTGTTCCACGAGCAGGTCTTCAGGAGAAAGAGAAAGTAATCCATATCGATGAGCCGCTTCATCGCCAACATCACCCTGATGGCTTTGCCCCCGCACTAGAGGACCATAAACCACATGGCACCCAGTCATTGGAGGAGCCTAGTTGGGCCGAAGAGGGTCCAAATGATGCCCCTGTGCTTGCAGCAGACGAAATCGAACCAGGTGCAGAGCATTTACCACCTGCCATCTCGCCCACTTTCGAGCACGGCTCTCCCACGCTTCGGGGTCAAAATCGATCACACAGCCGCACTGAAAGTCGTCCGAGTAGCCAGCCATCCCTTACCCATGGTGCAGTGTCAAGCAGGGTGAGGTTTGGCTCACGAAGTGAGGAACGCGAGGAAATGCATACAGAACTTGAAGACGTTCGAGAATATGAACCACTATTCCCAGACGACGATGAGGAGGCGAAAATAACTGCATCTACAGAGCGATTTAAACGTCAACCTATGCCACATAGATTCCCGAGTAAGGATATTTGGGAAGATGCTCCGGAATGCTTACAACTGGAAGCTACAGTCTCAACTCTAGATGTTCCAAGTGAACATGTCGGTAATGAGGAGAAGTCCCCATTGGAACGGCCAGAGCATCAAACTTTGCAGAGCAAGCATGGGGCTGCACCAAGTCCTATATCCCCATCGAATGAACAAAGCCACCTTGAGGATGAAAAGACATCCATTTCGGAGTGCAAACAGCGTTTCCCAAGTAAGGATATTTGGGAGGATGTTCCTGACAGTCAACGACTCGTCACAACAGTCCAGACTCCACAGGAGGTGACGACAGCAACTTCACCTGAAAGTCCAACAAAACCCGCAACACCTACTTCTCCTGCACGGCTTTTTTCAAAACCGATACGCCCAGTAGAAGGAAGCGTAACAAGCCCGACCGAGACTAGAAAACCGCCTACGATCCCTAATCGTCCAAAACCTCAAGTCCCTGTACGACCAGCAAAAACACTATCGCACAATTCCAACGAAAACCTAACAAAAACGACATCTACCGGTTCTGTTGATACCACAGCACCTACAGTTGTAAAGGCAAAGCCTCCTATCCCCTCTCGACCTGGGGGGTCCAAGATCGCTGCCTTAAAGGCTGGCTTTCTCTCGCAATTGGAGGGCCAGCTGAAGTTGGGACCTCAAGGCCCCAAGCCTCAAGGGAAGAAACCCGAACCCGAAGAGCCTGTTGAGAAAGTGCCTCTGAGCGATGCTAGAAAAGGCCGAGCGAGGGGACCAGCTAGAAGAAAGCCCGCCGTTCCTGCTGCTGTACCCGTCGCAGAACCCATTAAAATGCCTGCCGCTCCCACGGTCAAAATCGTGGACCCCTGGAATGTATGGCAAATAGGTGGAGATGGAATTCTCATGGTTGGCAACACACCTCCCGCCAAGGCTAAATCCATATCACCACCGGATTTTCCTTCTGCCGCAAATCTGGAGCCAAGGCTTAGCGAGAGTTCGAACCAGGCTTCTCCTTTACGCGGAGTTACTGCTACAGATACGGATGCTTCTCCCGAGACGACATCCACACCAATTACGACAGAAGAATCCGGTGACCTTGCTCCTGCTGTTGTCGACTCCGCAACGACCTCGTCGTCGGTATCGCGAAACCCAATGCCCACCTCACCAACATCGTGCCTAGATAATGGTTTAGAAGCGCCACCACCAGCAACATTTGTCGAAGCGGAGATAGAAGCCAGTGATGATGGACCGCTTGTAACTGGGCCAGATAAGGAGGTTGTTGAGCAAAGCTCTGAACCGACGGAATCATTGGAGAAAGAAACATCGAAAACTTTATAGATCCTGTCGGTACTGCTTTGTAATCAAAGGAGGCGGGAGTTGTAGATTAGTTGGGATTTGGATAAACTTTCTCTATATAACGATCATTTATGGTTCTCATGCTTCCTTCTTTTTGGCGGACTTGGCCTGCTTCTTTGCTTGTGTTGGATTCTATCATTCAAGCTGAAATTTGAATACTTCCAGCAAGAGAGGGAGGGGGAAAGAAACAACCTGGGAAGCGGAAGTGTTGAAATATTGTGCTCTAGATGCACATCGTCGATTTGTTTCTCTCGTTGATATAACTACCCTAACAAAGTTTTGCAAGCCTGTGGTTGGGTGTATTCTACACACACACACAAACACACACACACACACACACACTCTCTCTCTCTCTCTCTCTCTCTCTCTCTCTCTCTCTCTTAAATATAGCTTTTACTCCTATTCTCTCCCGCTTGCCTACAGATGTCATTCGTGGGATTATTCATCATTTCCAGTCCGTAGAGCAGCAATTATCCAGGCACGTAGTTGAACATGGTTGGAAACCCGGCTCTCATCACGGCAATTCAGATCATAGCTAGCTCCCGCCAACCTCTATTTAGTAATTACAACGCCAAAGGATCGCAGGGTCCTTTAAAAAAATAAAATAAATAAAATAAAAAAAAAAGGGAGGAAAAGGATTAAAACTCGGGTTAAAGCTCTATCTACGTCTTGTCTCATCTAGTTCTAGCCATATTTATGCCCGTCATTTGCTGTCGTTATGTTCCATTTCTACTACCCACGTTCCAACTGGAGAGAAGCCTGGAAATCACAACAAATACTGAGCATCAACATGATTAGCTTTTGATAAGAGTTTAGCTTTTTTATCTTTTTTTTTTTTTTTTTTCTCTAGAACCTTTCAATAATTCTTTGATATTGTAATTTTACTTCATATGTTATTCTTACAGTATGTAGATGTAAGTATATACAAATCATTGAAAGTCATTTTTAGCAGAATATCTATCTAGTTGATACCCTCTGCCGATGAATGTTGCTGAGAAGTCATAGATGTTTGATCTAGATGATGAGCACTGTTCCCTGGGACTGTCTAGTTGAACACGATTTGGATTTGTAAGGTAATCAGATTGATTATTCTAATCAGGATGAGAGTAGGTTTTCTAACCAAGGGTTTGATGCCCGGGTTAGAAAGAAAGCTTTTCATTTTCCAGATCTAACCACGTCCACTTCAACTAGAACCCGAGATAATCGCTATGCCACTCACTCACTGTAGTTAACTGACTTAGAATAAACCATATTTCTCAATGGATGATAAACTGGGTTAAAATGTAATATTTGTAATTATATAGATACACGGAGCAGAACGTTAGGCGAGGGAGAAAATCGCAAAACCACCCAAGCCCCAATCCATCGCTATCTTTGCAAAAATCCAAGGCATGTGAGGCCTGACTTAGGTAGATATATAATAAAGAAGGGATGAGGACCGTGAAATCATCTTGATTTAATTATGCTCGAATCTGCTCGAACCAATAAATGCATTCTCGTGCATGTATTGAAAATCACACCCTACACTCACTCATAAAACAAGCACACGCATGAGCGCCACGTCCACTATATGGCAATTATCACCATTATCACCATCATCCTAATGATCATAGAACGAAAAACGAATCGACAGAATGAAGAGAGACGATGCTACACCAGCAATGCATGCGATACATCCCACCAATGAACCAGCCCTTAATAGAGAAAAGAACGAACCAGAACAGAATAACACTATGATGAATGGTATGTACTATGTAGGATTTTTGCAGACGTGCTGAAAACTGTTGGGGAGCGAGCGGCAAAAACAAGTCCCCCATTCCATCTAAATAAGATATGAAACACAAATTGATTAACGCCGCGCCAAGACCCGTGCCTTGCCTCGCATGGCATATTAGGAAAGAAAAATAAGGAGGCAAACAATGTAGAAAAATTTTTATCAACAGAAGCAAGCCCCAGATAAAGAACAAGGGAGGATGGGAGTTTGCTTCAAAATCGAAAAAGAAAGAAGTGAAGGTAAAAGTAATCGAAAAAGAAAGTTGTTGTTTTATCTGCCGTAGAGTGTGAAATACCGGATATCACCAACCTGATGACAAAAATTAAGTAGGAGAAGTGTGTGTATATATACCTATGTCCAGATATTGATGCTGTACAGCGATTATGACCTCCGTCGCAAAAAGGGAAAGAGAAAGAAGTTGGGGTGATGCCGGTGTGTGTGTGTTTTGAGAGATAGAGAGCGAGAGGAAAGAGAAAGTAACGAAAAAACTATATTTTTCTATTACATCATTATTAGTTTTCATTTTCGGAAGCTCTCGACGCCCAGAATCGGGATTTCGACCGCATCGTCGCTCGGAACTCCCTCATCACGTCGTCGTGCGAAGAAATTGTCACACTCGCAAACAACCATTGCCCACTCCGCCAGCGCGCGGCCGGCATATTTACTCGGTGCGAGGGGGTGATATTGATATTGGTATTGAAATTCCCCGTCCAAATCTGGGTGCGTTTCGAATGCGGTGAAGACAGAAAGGTTAGGCTTTGGATTGGGAGTTAGAGTGGTAGCGGAAGCAGTGTGGCCGATGGTAGAGGTCTGGGTAAGGCTGGAAGCTGCGGTGGTTGTAGTTGTTGCTGTTGTCTTGGAGATGGAGTTTATCTCTGCACCTTCGCTGTCTGAGCTGTCGTCAGAGTTGGATCCGGAGAGAGACTTGGAGGATCCATCGGCTGAGTCAATTTGTTTTGCGTCTTTTGATCGAAGAGATTGGAGGAAAAGCTGGGCGGGAAGAGGTAGGGAAGGTGGGAATAACCGTCTGTTCTTGGAGGGCCATCTACCACGATCGTTCCACTGAAGGGAGAACCTGAAGGTGTATTTTGGTTGGTTCTTCGTCGGTGGTTGTGGGTTTCCATGTCCAGATGAAACAGCATCCCCAAAGTTTGAGGCGTCGTTTGCACCGTGTTCGCTCTCATCATGGGTACTCTTCGTTGGAGTTACCTCCCCTGGTTTCACATTCGAGGAGCCGGTGAATATAGTTTTCAGTGCCTTCCATCTCCTTTTACCAGATGTGGTGGGTGACTCGGAACACGAAGTATTGGGCTCGAGGACTGTCATAGAACCATGGCTTTTGTACGCTGAGGGCAGGCTGGAAGAAGTTGCCGGGATGATGTTGTCCAAACAGACAAATAAAGAGGAGGGCTGGTAGTCATTCCTAATGATAAGAATTCGACGCCCAGGCGCTGGGCTGCAAGGTGCCGTCGATAGCGGCGGGATGAGATCCTTCTCAGCCTTTGATTGGCAGAGAAGGAAGTAGTTCCAGATCCCAGTGAGCCTATCCAACAGAGCACTGTATATACGTCTAGATGGTAAAAGACATTTAGCAACCAGCTCACCCATCCATCCAGTGACTTGGCATTTTTCACGACTACTTACAAGTCTTGTGCAGAAGGTTTCCCTTCACACCGGGCCAACCGCCAGCATAGCAGTCTGTGGAAATAGGCGCGTACCATCGGGCTCCAATGATTAAAGTACCTGTAGAAATAGGTTTCGTGCAAGATTATTCCCAAGCACAACGCTTCTTTTCTCTCATCAAGCTTGTTTATCTCATTCCAAGTAGCATAAATGAAAGAGAAAGCCCTCACTTCTGTGAGTGAGTTGTTACTTTCCATCATTCGCTTGCAGACATCTAACCAAAACTTCCAGTCTAGTAAGTCTGGTTGCTGGGTTGATTCGCAATATGGTGGGATAACTGAAACGAGCTCCTCTACGAAATCTAATAAAACAAAGCATGCGTTATGATCGAAGAGAGACAGTTTCTTGGTGGCGACCTTTAGGATTGCACAAAAGTTTTCCACAAACATTTGCTTTATAAATAACTCAAGGGACCGATCTGTGACAATGTCCTTTAGTAGTAGAATGAGACGATTTTCGGACATGACACGCAGCGAATTTGCAGTTCCCAATGGTATGGCGGAAGCGGAAGCATCTGTGCCATCGATGAAATCTTCAAATGTTGTTGAGGTTATTCCATGAATATCATCCACAGATGAAGCAGTTGACTGTTTGTTGAGAGTATGTTCCATAACAGTCAATATCTGCGCATGAACAGAAAGAAGTCCTGGAACGAAGACATATTTCGACCTTTCGCATCCAGAGGGTAAAAGTTCCGCAACCAAGATGTGGAAATACTTAGCAAAAACGAAAAAAAGGTCAGTATCTCTCCCTGACCAACGGGAAACCCATGGACCTGACCAATTAACATTGGCCGCACCCAGAGGTGGAGGCGCCTTTCGCCGAAGACAACGGACAGTAGCGGCGTGAGACCTGAAGCATAAGGATCGCAGCGCTACTGGGAAATACGACGCGATGTGGTCAGATGTTTCAACGTCAGCCTTAGCGTTTCTGTCCACGTTGAATCCACTTAAAACCCTTCGGAGAGTATCGGGGTTGGTGGTCCACAGTCGCACAAGAATGTCCGCAACACCGGGGCAAAAAAAGAACGCATAAGTGCATGTTTTACCAGCAAAAGTTACAAGACTTGCAGGGGTTTGTCTCATTGACAATTTGTCAACGCAATATCCGATTTGCGATAGGAGATTTTGAGCGAAGATGTTCCGGATGTTGTGGTGTATAGATTCGATGAGAAAATCTGTCCCGGTTGATTCAAGGGATGTGTTAGAGCTGGAAATTGGGGTTCGAACGTTGAGAGCCGTAAGTGTAGAAGATGATGATGATGATGTATGTAAGGTTGGAATACGCCATTCTGGCCTGATCATGATGCCAACAATGGCTTCTAAAAATACTGGTCTATCGACTCCGCTTAAAGACTGGCTAGTTCTCCCATTGAGGACCTCGAGGAGTCCCGTCCACCATTTATTCAAGATATTTATACGTCTATCGAGGTCTTCAGGTCGGAGAAATTGGATGGATTGGTGATTGGCGTAGCGTGAAAGAAAGGGAAGCAGGGATGAGCGAAGGACGTTGGCCTTGAGAGAACTACTTTTCGAAGAGAATCTAGACTCTGTTAGCTGCCATTATTCTGTTTCCGCTTAGTCCGCATGACTTACTTTTGGTAGTCAGCATCGATACCCCTAAAGACGGACCAAAGCTCGTCCTTCTTTTGCGGCGGGTTTACATTGAGTTGGGGCAATTGGCCAGTACGCCTCCTTGGGACAGAAGGAATATATTCATTTGGCCCTGCGGAAGAGGCGAAGAGCCTGTCCGATGAAGCTCTCCCGCGTAGCGAGGGAATGGGCGGATGTTTTTGGGAGCTGGCAGGATCATCAGATTTTAGCTTGGTTCCAGGGGTTTCCGATATCCAGCTGCCTTTGACGAGAACACTCCTTCGCCGATGCATATCCCGAATGGAGACCCCTTGGGTAGACGCATGCTCTGTATTTATATGTGGGTCTTTTCCTAAAGTGCCATTGCCAATTGTATTGGCAGAAGCTCCACCCTTGCTTCTTACTTCACTGGGTGTTGAAGGAGAAGGAGACCGTGAGGAGATCCATGGCTTGCGAGCTAAGGTCGCAATTGTGCTTGACACGGAGCGTGATTTGGAAGGCCGTTCAATTGGCAAGGACTTCTCAGTGACTTTGTGAGATGACAATTGTGTTGGGCCTTGGTCATCTCCATCTAAAGATGAAGTTATAACCTCCTTTGCCTTTGGTTTACCATTTGCTAAGCGGATAGAAGCGTGGCGTAGAACTTTCCTGCCAGTTCTAAAGCTACCCTGATCCGCCTTCACTTGCTTCTCGGATGACTGCAGTAGATTCGTCTCTGAAAAAGGCCTTTTCACATCCACTTGGTTTACGTTGGAATCCCGTGCAGGCAGGTGGTTATAGCTGGCGGAGCGGGAAAAGGGAGAAGTAGCGTCATGTTGAACCTCCGTGGCAGAGCTAGGCATGCTCTCAAAAGGAGAGAACAAGGCCGAAATTGAACGGAGCAAGTATAGGTATTAAGACCAAGGAGTCCAGAATACAGCTTCAGGGGAGAGGCCAGCTCTCTGTCGAGAAGGTTTCTTGTTTAAACCGATAAGGCTAAAACCATTGGCGGGATTCGGGATTCGGGATTCAGCTTAGGCAAGGCGCAAGGAGAGGTTTCCTGTTTGGGGGGTCGATTGGAAGGAAGCGCGCTTCTGGAACAGGAAACGGTAAAAGATGGAGGCTCGAAAGGAAATGTGTAGGTAAGGCTAGACGAAGAGACAGCTTGGAAAAGTAAAAAGGTCTACAGAGAAGAAGGGGAAAATTAGTTTCCGTTATATTGGCTCTGGTTCAACTTTCACCACGGAAGGCGAAAGAGGGTACGGTACCACTCAAACTCATAACCTCGAAGCCTATATGGGAGATGGGGGTCAAATGGGGGTGATCGATTCTCATGCGGGCGGACGCAGTAAAGTAGTAGTATTTAACGAAAGGGCAGCCAGAGGGCTGATGTGGACGTGTATCAAAGATGCCTTATAGCCAGTAGATAAAGAGAACCAGAGTATAAAGAAAAAGCGGCAGGCGGCGAACAATGGAAAAAAAAAGAACACGGAACAAACGAGGGGCGAGGCAACAGAAGAGCAAAACGAGGTTGAAATAGAAACGAGAGGAAGAACAAGAAGGAGCAGGAGCAGGAGCAGGAGCAGAAGCAGAAGCAGAGGCAGAAGCAGGCTCCGAAGCAGAAACAGGCTTGACAGGGAGTCCAGTCCGCACCCTGGGGCCAGCAGAGCATGCTGAGTCCGCTTAAAGAACGCCGGATGTGTGAGGCAGTCCGAAGTGGGCATTTGGCGTGTTTGAGCCTCAGCCGCCCGAGCACCGCCTGCCTACTAGCAACGAACTAAGTGTCTACTCTGGATTCATTAAATTTAGGATTTGACACAGTGTGAGCCTAACTAAGCGTCATCATGTTCTTGACTTTTTGATCTTGCTGTTTCGACAATCGAAATTTTACTTCCTCCACACTATTATTTAGCGCAGATGTGTCTTGGTTTTCGACATATTTCGCCACCAACCTAACCTCCCTGCGCCGTGCGCTGACGGCCTACCGATGGCGGTGGATGTTCATCTACAGGGTGCTTGTAGACAGGGGCCAGGAATAAAGGATGTGAAAACGAACAAATAATTGGAACTAAATGCAACACAAACGAAGGCTTAGACAGGAGACAGAGAGGAAGATGGTCGTCGGCTCAGCATAGTTGGCGACAATTGCCATACAATTTATAGACCGGATGTCGCTTCTGACATTGGTTTTGTTTCTTTCAGCGCACTGATTTGCCCGGAGGCCCCGATTTTGTCTCAATTGCTCCTTGGGACTTCGCAAAGCTTAAATAAATATACAAGCTCTCAACTTAAAGCATGATCATACCCGAGCGGTTGCTCTTGCACCACTGATTATATAATTAGAAAAATTTGGATCGGAGAGAATACGGATCAGATATGAAGCACTGCGCTGGCATCCCACCTGCGGATGTTCAACGGACGGGCCGGCTCAAAAAGAAAACAAGGCCAACAAAGCCAGGCCCAGAACTCCTTTGAAGAGGTGGCTGACAGTCTGAAAAACAAATGACCACTATGACAGAGCGAAATAAGGCCGGCCACACGGAGTCAAATCTTGGAAGCGGTGTTCGATTTCCTTGTTTAGAGCTCGCTGGGCTCCTGGGGTTCGTGCTGCAAAAATATGGTTGATGTCTTTCATACAAAGTATCCGGGGCCCTGCCGCACACTGGTTGCGATTGATGAAGCATCGACTCTGTATTTTCGAATACAGCAATCCATGTTTTGATGCTATTTTCTCGCCACCCTTTGCATCATATATCTTGCCATGATTCTAATCGATATCCAAGTGAACTAGGTGAAATGGCCCCCCAGTATCATTGTCGACGCATGGACCATGTACGGCACTTGGACTTCTCATTACATACATTTACTTCTGCGTAGTTTCTGGATAGCGTATGGTCGCGGCGGGGTCCGGGAAGACCAGCAATGCACGCAAATAAAGTTGAGTCTCCTTCAAATGTCCATCTAAACTTTTTCGAGCTTATGCCTGTATGGCAAAGTCCCTTGTACATATTCAAAGTAGTTGCATGCTGGCTATAGAAATGGTAATATCCGTCCAGATAAATTCTGGAGTCGAGATATTCTGTTCTGTGCGACAGTTCCCCTAGAAACCAGTGAACGCGGAATCCAAGCTCTGAAAATGCAAGTTCAGTTCAAGCTCACATTGAGCCCACAAGCAGGGGTATTTCATAAGAAGGAGCATATAACAAAAATCGGGCAAGGAAACAAAAAATATATTTTTTGAAATGTATAGATTTACAGGATTTTCGGTGTCCATTCACAAATACACAAGGTCTATTGAAAAGGGCGCTCATTGTTCCTCTCTTCCACGGCAGTACTCCAATTTAATGAGCAGCAGGCGCCTCGTCTTCGTCTTCAAACCAATCCTCTTCGACGACGGCGGGTTCGCTGCTGGTCGCTTGACCTTCCACCTCAACCTCCTGTGTCTCGTATGCCTTCAGATCAGCGGCAAGGTTGGCCTCCTCGGGGGATGGAGGTGGCTTTGGAGCGCTGAACTTCTGGACGTGTGCATCGGCATCGGAGGGCTGACTTGGCGGGAACTTGTACGCACGAACCTCGCGGAGATACATGTCTTGCACGAGCTCGGCTAGGAAAGAGGTACGAGAATTTTCCGAGTCAGCCATCAAGTATATACCCAACCCGCCTCTAAGCTGGGGTTCCTCTATGTAACTGTAGAGATATATATGTATATACCTTGTCTAATGGGGGTAGCGATGAAAGTGCGACGAGCGGCTGTTAGAGGTTGTCGACCCATTCGGGCCAGGAGACAACGCTGCGGAGAGATCAGTCAGCAGGAACTCAATGGCAGTAGTATGGGGGCGTCAATGACCTCTTACCGATACTCTAAGCGATTGAGACATCATCACGAATGTGGAAGATGCAGACGACAAGACTTTGTTTATCGTGGCTTTGCCCGGAAAGAGAATATCGGGTCTTTCAGGTTCGTCGCTCTCGTCAAGATCCGGATCGAGTTTGGCATGAATCGGCTGACTCATCGTATATCACGTGATATTCTTCGCCATCTGCCTAAATGAGGCTTATCTCAGTGCCTCAGCCTCTCTCAAGATATTTTCGTTGCAAACTAGCCACAGACTAACTCCTTTGAATACCTGCCAAGTCCTGCTAACTTCTACACCAATGAGAACACAGCAACGTAAGCAACAAAAAATATCTCGTAGAGAGTCTGAGAAAGAACGGTCGCCCCTCTGGTGATACTGAAAATCTCCACCATACAAATTCATCCTCTATCTGCGAAGGCATACATCGACATCAACCACACAGGTTTTCTGACTGAAAACCATACCATTCAATTCTTTTATATATTATCTACAACTTGTACTATCCTAAAAGTTATCACAGCCTAATACCAGCATGGAAACTCCAGTTGAAAATACCTCCTCATTTGGCCTCTTTGACCTCACGTCCGGCGCATACTCTTCTGAGTTATCATCACCTCCTCCTTCATCAGACATCAATGATGGTTATGAGACAGTGGATGATACTGAGGAATCTTCTGGATTAGACAATGAGTCCAACAACAGTCCTTCCCAACGCCGATACTATGTTCAAAAACAAGGCCCTCGTCGCAACCGTGGCACTATCAGCAGGTTGCAGGATTTCACACAATTTATGGCTGAAAGACGCTGGGGAATTGAAGGTCTCATATCTGCCTGGGTCAGCGATAAATACATTCTCTCTGCATCACGATATGCAACTGGTGTAAAGCGACGGAATGCATTACATCGTGCAGTATTACGGACAAACCTTCTTCAGAATCATGAGATGGTACAGCAACAACTTAAGGAAGAGCTGAGAGAACTTATCAAAACACCATACTTTGGCAGGTTCTCTCCAGATTTGGATCTTAATACGATGGACTTCAACTCAGCATTTAAGGACATGCAGGAACAGGCACCAATCTGGTACATGCTTCTATCAAAGGTTCTTGTTAATTCTCGATCTGGACGGCAAAGTTATACGTGGAATGCCAACAAGTTAACTGTCAACCGGCGAATCTTTGTTATCCTCAGTATAATATGTCATTCTCATGCGTTAAAGACCTCCAACTTCTTTGCTGCTTTATTCTCGGCTTATCTACATGGATCTGGTGTCAAGCGCCGAGTGGTAGAGACTCTGTCAAGCTTTGGAATATGCCATAGCTATGTGCACGGAAATACGTTAATGAGCCAAATTGCCGACATTGAAAAGGTACTATTCAGAAATAGAAAGGCATGACTGGTCTGTCCTTTTCCTCTCCCCCCTCGCCCCATTCGCTGCCATATATCTGCTATATCCATGCTGACTGGGAATCTCCATGCAACAGTTCGTTTCACGTCCGGCACATTTACACCCATGCCCAAAGAGGTAGTGGCTATCATGAGCCGTATGCTGGAGTTAGGCCTCATGAATTCTTTAAACCGAGAATGCTGATCGCCTGAAGTTACCCGTGAGGTATAGACCTGAACAATCTGGTTTACAGATAGTTCTCCAGCAGTAGAATAACCACCTGTTGTTAAATGACTGGTGAGTCCAATAAGGAGATTACGGAGACAGTCAGCGGCTATAAAAACCTGGTGGATATTATCAATAAAGATAATAGTTTTTGGAATCTGTTGTGGTACAGGCTTTTTATCCACATCAATTGCATCCTTAATAAGGAAAAATAACAGGTGGAAGGAGTGATATTGACCTCGAGGAATAGGATGGATGCTAATAAAAACATCAGGTCGATCGATAGATGTTCGGATTATCTCAGTCTCACAAGGCTTGTTACCAATTGCTCGGAATCCACCATTCAATAGGATATCTTTCTCACATGCACTGCTGGCTGTTGCTGTACAGCCAAACCAGACAATATCCTCACGAAGTAAGAGCCTTAACTGTCCCAGCATAGCAAATTGTGTACGGAAGTTCTTCCACTGATGTATAAGATGGCATTCATCAATAGCCACAAGTCCAATCCGTGCTTGGAAGTCAGGCTTCATCAAGGCTCCCTTAAAGACCTTGGAGAGAGCCTGCTCTGGGCTGAGAAGAACATGGGTATATAACCCCCGTTGAATGGACTGCAACCATGAGTGTTCAGCTCTCTTGGAGTCTGCAGTGATCATACAAGGCCGTGCCCCTGGGAATTCAGCAATATCCCGTTGTTGCTGCTCACCAAGTCCAGTCAATGGAACAAGTTGGATGGTTATCCTTCCTGTTAATATTGAATAGGAATGAAGAATAAGGCTTTTGCCAAACCCAGTCCGCGCAATAAACAGAGTGTCACCATATCCATATATTAATCGCCGTATAGTACGGACCTGTTCTGGATGAGGACAGAGGGTACTTTCTGGCTTTCCATCTCTTAGCAGCCGCTTCAGACATGCCTCAATCACACCATACTGCTGCTTAACATGGTCTGGATGTGAGTATTTCCCAATTAATTCAGGCATACTTTGGATATCCATCACTAATATAGCATCTAGAGCGCTAGGTGATAATGTTGTTTCAATGTCTTGTGGCTCTGCCAGTGCAGCCCTTCTGTGCCGTATTTGATGTCGACTTCGCCGTTTCCGACGGTCCGGTGTGGGGTCTGATTTGCCACGAACCATCTCACAGGATTCTCAATAATTGGAAGATATTTATCAGGAGCTCATAGAAGCCTATGGGAGGTCGCAGAGGTTTGCAGGGGTTCACTGTGTAAGGTATAACCCTACTTTGTGCCACAGAAACCAGATGGTCTGACTGAGAGGTAGTATCATCAAGAGAATGTTATTTGTTGGTAGTCGGACATTCTAGGCTTAATTCTGAGCATCCGAGTATGTTTATCTTGCTGATAGGATATGTGGTTGAGAATCTATAGATTATTTTTGAAAAATCAGTATACATTCTGGTGAAAAAACACGAAGTGACCATTTTTGACACGGTTGTTCGTACCTCAAAAGGGCTCCTATCATAATAAAAAATAGTGTGTTCTATAGCTTTTTGATAGACAAATCTCTCTTACTATGCCGAATTGTGTCAATTGATAAGGATGGAGTTGGCGCATGGAGCAAAGTTGGCCATCCCTTCAAAATGACCCGGGGTTACTAACAACGCGCGACCGTTCTTTCTCAGACGCTTCGCGAAGGAAAATTTTCCTCCTTCCTAATTAAGACTAGTTTAAGCCATGTAGATTATGATTGGTCCAGAAGATCTCAGCACTTGGCAGAAGTCAAAAGGAGTTAGCTTATAATTTTACGAAGCGAAGTGGCTGAGGAACTGAGATAAAATGGGGCCTCGTTGCTCTTTCACAGGTCAAGAGTTGACAACTATCTCGCAACCACCTTTGATTCTTCCACGCCTGAGTCTCCGTCCGTGGACATCCACCTGCTACAAGCGCCAGTACATCGCAGTTGGATTTGGACGTGTTTCTGGAGTGTTTCTGGGGCATCAACCAGAGCTGGAATCGTTGTTTCCGCACCGGTCGTGAACTCTGATCTTTCTCCTCACTCAACGTCGTGGGAACTATTAGAAGTCTGGCTCGCCACGGAAGCCTCAGCTGGAGTACCTCAAGACTTCATCTCGAAGCGCCGGGATTTTTGCGCCGGAGAGCTTGAGCACTGTTCTGTGCGGTTTGAACAGTTCTTAGCAGTTTCGTGAAAGGTAAATCTGAGAAAGATTTGCTACATTGTGGGTTGCGTGGCTGTCCGCATCCAGCTGCTTCTTTTATGAAGTCAAAAAATGCAATCCACACTCATGTCTACCTCTGCCTGCCTTGCAAATATTATGATATCTGAATCAGCATCAGTAAAGATACGTTCGTTTATGAAAAGCTAACGTGATCGTGAAGTAATAGTGGACGCATTCTTCTAGATGTCAAGATCTGGATAAAGATTTTGCCATCTGTCCACTTTTTCTTCTTTCCTCGAGTTCTCTGGGCAATCGCGCCCTTGATCGATTGCAGTCGCCAAACTGTATTCGCCGTTGTTTATACGTGTTTACGCATCACAACATAATCTCACAGCTACTTATAAAACCATTAGAAGGCGCCAGAGCGACCGACTGAGTGGAAAAAAAATTACCAAGGGAAAGAAAATGACCGTTCTGGGGACTGCGAATCGAAATGAACCTGGTACATTGTGGAAAGAAAACCTCGCCGCTCACTTGATTTGCCCCGAGTGCAGGGAAACTCCTCCCAATCTCGTAACCCCGGATTCCCACGAGACCATTTGCGGGAGCTGCGGCCTCGTATTGGCAGATAGAGAGATTGATCAGCACTCTGAATGGCGTACGTTCTCGAATGATGACCAAAATAACGATGATCCTTCCCGTGTTGGAGATGCAGCGAATCCGCTGTTGAATGGCAACCAGCTTGAGACCCAAATCTCATATGGTGCTGGAGGATCTCGAAGCCGCGAGTTGCACCGGGCTCAAAATAAAATGTCTAGTGAGAAGACCAACAAGGCTTTGCTAGCTGCCTATAAGGAAATAGGTGCACTTTGTGATGGATTTAATATCCCTAAAAATGTGGCGGACACTGCCAAATATCTGTTTAAGATAGTGGACGATGCAAAGGCATTCAAAGGCAAGTCACAGGATGTGATCATCGCGGGGTGCATATTCATTGCTTGTCGGCAGTGCAAAGTTCCTCGAACTTTCACTGAGATATTTGCCGTGACGCGCGTTACCAAGAAGGAAATCGGGCGGATCTACAAAGCTCTTGAGAAATTTTTCACTGCTCAAAACTTGGAGCGAATCAATTCCGTAGTCTCGAGTGGGGGTAAGCTCAGACCGCCACAACAACTCATTTGCACCATTGACTAAGAATTCTAATTCTAACCCTCTGAAAATTATAGGTGTTCCGGACCCCAATGAGACCTATACAGCCACAACATCAACAAAACCCAGCGATCTCTGCAACCGGTTTTGCAATCTTCTCGATCTTCCATTCCAAGTCACCAACGTGTCGTCTGCGTTGGCTGACCGAGTTACATCCACCGGTGAGCTTGCTGGTCGCTCTCCACTCTCGATTGTGGCCGCTTCCATCTACATGGCGTCCTTCCTGATGGGACAGGGAAAAACCGCCAAAGAGATTTCCAGCGTTGCTCACGTCAGCGACGGGACGATCCGAGGAGCTTACAAGCAACTATACGCTGAGAGAGAACGGCTGATCGACCCGGCTTGGATCAAGGATGGCAAGGGTGACTTAAGAAATCTCCCTCCCAGCTAGATATATCGATATCCATTGATTCATCGCCTTGATCGCATATTTGTCCCCTCCCAGTCCTAAACTCAATCTATCAATTTACGAATAACCTGAGTTGGGAGAAAAGCAAGGGAAGAAAGAATGACACCTAACAAAATTGTGAAATAATGCCTTGAAAATGGGGGGCGATGAATGAAATAAGTTTGACTCTCCATAGTTCGGGCTCGTTTAGCGAAAGAATGAGAACCAAAAAGAAACGAAAATAAAAAAATGAAAACAAAAAAAAAAAAAAAAAGGGAGGGGGGGGAATAAGAACAAGTTCACCTGTTTTCAGGTGTCATAAGCCGGTTGTCTGTTTTTCTCAACAGTCATTTTTTCTGTGGCGCCTCCTATTACACGATTGCCATGCTCTGTCTGTTTTCCCGTTTACTTTGCTTTTCTTCTATCTTTTTGCTCTGCGCCTGCGACACCAACGGATTCAATCTGAGGTAGTCTTGCTTTTTTACACGAATCACAATACCCGAAATGCTAGCAAAATCCACCTGCGGCGGAAAGAGAGCCTGAAAACCGGAAAACACCTTCGATTCTATGAAGGTTGGATGCCCAGCGGATGGGGTTTTGGGATGGGATGGGATGGGATGATACCATCTCCAGTCTGCAATTTGTGGCTTATCATGAGCGAGATCAGTTGTGCTTCTTATGTTATACCCTCTTTTGCTTCTTCTCATTCGCCATTCTTTGACGTTTTCGTGAACGAAGGCTTGCTTGGATCGCGTCAGACAAGAATGGCTGAACGTGTGGAACCGAGACTGAATGGATGGACGGCCAGCGCCCCTTTGAGTTGATAATATTAGTTGCGAATAACTAATTGGCGGAGGACTTAATTGTATAATAGACATCACTTAACCGGCGGAAAAAGTTAATAGATCAATAATAATTCAGTCAGTGATATCCTGCTTTCATTCTTAACTTGATGCTATCACATGCTGGAAAAATTACTCTAAAATTTGAGATATTCATGTGTAGGCAGTTAGGTGCTTGCATTGTGTCCTCGTATATACACAAGGGCAAATAAAATGATAATGACGATTGAAAAACTCCTGGCGAAGGTTTATCAATGGAAACAGCCACATATCCAAGATGAGGGAGATTCAAGATCGTTAGAAAAGGTATATGAATGTTTAATAAACCAGAGGGAAAAAGCAATAAAAAATAAAACATCTTAGGGGAGAAAGAAATGGAGAACATACGTTGAATATCGGGATGCTTAAATTTCACACGTGCGAAGCAAAAAACTCAATGCCATGAATGATAAAACAGTGATGTAAAGGTAAGTAAAACAAAGGAAATAACGCAAAAATAAAATAAAACAAACGATGGAGGGGGAACAAATGAGGAAAGTGATTTGGATCTCTTAAACAAAATCAGAAAGATGGAGAGACAAAAAAGCGATAGAGCAGATTCAGAAGACACAGCAGCAGGTATTGAAAAATCAAAAGGAAAAATAGGCTATCAGCAGTTGAAGCACGATGTATAGGTATATACATGCAGAGTATGTACAGAAGAAAAAGATGATGCACGGACTTGGTATATATGAATGTAAATCGGCAGTAGATATGCGTCAGGGGTGAGCCGACGGACAGGTAGGCATGTGATACCTACTAGAGAGGATATGTATACTTCTGGATGGATTTTAGGTTAAAGGGAGAGGCTGGTTTATGTGTGCATAAAAATGGGTACGTCTGGCTTGTTTGTGGCTCGTGAGATATTATTTACCTGTCTTGTGTTGGGGGGAGGTATGTTACGGTAGGTGGGTGGGTGAAGAGCTACACCTGTCTCGACCTCTTTGCTTCTGAATGCGTTTCAATTCAGCGCAATACTAGCGTCTGTTATGATCCTGGATATCTTTTCTATCCATTTCTGCGCCTCGATCCAATCACCGGAATCGATCGCGTCGCGGATTGCCGGGAAGGATGTTTCGTCATTACCTGACCATGCCTGTGGTCCAAAAATGACATGTTTGAATTGTGTTCGATTGGGGATCTAAAGAGAAAGCGAGATGGTTAGTTTTATACTTGGTTTTCCTTCCCCGACTTTCCATCATCGGCTTGGATTGCTTCATATGAAAGAGGGACATTTTATTATATTAAATCGTAAAATTTTCTTATATAAAAAAAAACTTACTCCGCCATCATTTTCCAAATCCAAGAGGTTGGTTTCGAAATAAGTCATGTGGCTATTATAGCTCATCCGCTTAATGGCCATGACATTGCTCTCATAGCCATCCGAAGACGCGACTGTTCTATTCCAACCATAGCCCCACCGATGGAATCTGGCAGCCCTTTCACGGAATGTCTTTGCAGCATCATGTAACGGTTGCATGTTTACCGCATTTGGATGGGAATTTTGGTCGATGTCACCAGATGTTTTGGCGTGCGCTCGAGCTCCTCGTGAATATACATGTTTGGATTTGGAGTATTCCTCTAGATCAGAGACGTATTTCGTAACGGCATCGGCGTAGTTTTGTAGGTCAAAGGGGAAGATTGGATTATCAGAAAGTTCGAGAAGGAGTAGAGCCCATATCTGACCCAGGACCTTGTGATATTGAAAGCCCGGGTCGCCAACCTGGCTCATCCAGTCAAAATTGTCGTAGCAGCTGTTATAAGGATAGGGGTCGCCAGTGAAGCCGAAATCTATGCTCGACATGCCTGCAATATCTTGGAAGGCAACGTAGTCACTTCCTGCACCAAGAACTTCGAGTTTGGACCCTCGTTGATCCCAGAGCGACCGCAGAGTTTGATGCGTAACTGGATCTGCGGTCCGCTTGAGGATCCGAAGGAGAACACGCTCAAAGACTGGGGACGCTGCGGCGCGGAATTTGTTACCCGAAACTGCAACATTGACATTTAGGTAGGCAAAGCCGTTTCGACGGAGCTCGTCGGCTTCCTTTTCCACATGTTCCGTGGATCCGATCAGGTTATATTCCCCCCCATCCCAACTCGCGAACTCAATAGTTCTTAATGGTCGCCAGCCGTGGGAACGTAGCAATCCGAACACCCTAGCCACCTCGAGAAGGACTGCAGTTCCGCTTCCCGGATCTGCAGCTCCAAAGCACCATGCATCGCGATGGCTGCCAACGATGATCTTTTTCTCGTTTTGCTCTATCCCTATTATCTTGCCGATAACATTGAATATGGGTTGGCGCTCCACCTCGTCTTGGGTGTTGACAAGGTTGACCTTTGGCGATGATGGGTCTCCCGACCACCACTCCCTAATTTCCGGAACCCCGCCCACCCAGTCCTTGGGCACTTTTTTACCATGACCTTGAAGTGCTTTTAGCAGGGGTTGGGCATCACGCCACGCGATGGGGATGCTGGGGATTTTAGGGAGTGCAGGGCTGTCATCTAGAGATATTCTTTTCTTTTCTCCAGGCGATGACGCGAATCCCGGACTCAATACATCACCAACTACCCAAGATATCATACTCACGCCTCCTCGCTGTACCCCATCACTAGGCATGTACCGGCCGTTAGGCCACTCCGGGCCTAGAAGGAATCCATCCTGGGCAGGGTCTGAATAAATGATGCATCCAGCAGCTCCAGCCAGCTCAGCTGCTTTTACCTTCAGCGCTCTGTCTCCCTGTGTGCCGTAATATCGAACCAGAACAATGGAGCCTTCCAGTTTCACACCCATATCAGCTAATGCCTTGAAATCTTCTGGGGAACCATAGTTCGCATATATTAGAGGGCCCGTGACGTTTCCAGATTTCGAATGCCCGTGAAATACGGGATATTGCTTTCTGGGCGGACCTTTGTAAGATTGTTCTTCATCAAGTTTGGCCTCCCAAGCCAGCTCTGGTGGATCTACAATGGCGACCCTTCTTCCACCGTCCTTGGGGTAATTTAGATATACATCGAATTGTTCCATCGCAACATCATCCATGTATGCAGACCTGAATTTATCCTCGACCCATTGGGCCAAAACATAATTCCCTTCCGTTCCAGCAACGTGAGGGAACTTTGTTATCATCTCGAGATTCTCCGCGATGTACGACTCGTTGATATGGCTCTGGACATATATCCGCACGGATTCAGGCTCATACATCTGTCCTAGATTTATCGGGCGGGTGAAGCTGACCACGTCTGAAACTATAAGAAAGTATACAATCGTAACGACAATAAACAATCCAATCATCCTCAAGATAATGATACAATGTTGATGCTCTAACCGCGACGCGACCTCCCTCAGAAACTGCGGTTTGGCGAAGCTGAACTTGGGCACATATTTCCATAGTGGTAAATGTATAGCCGACAGCGTCCTTCGGAAATGTGTAAATCGTTTCGAAAACGATGACGACGAGGAGTTTTCGTCAGGCTCTTCCACATCCATCTGCTCCAGCTCGCGCCGCAGCTCTTCGGTCGAGCCACGAACAGAACTGCCATTTGACGACGGAAGGAAATCGAGGCTCGACCGCGCAGACTCTACCGTTGGGGGTTGGTAATTGCCCGGATATCTAGGCTCCTGACGCTCGCCAGCGCCGCGGCTAAGGAGACCCTGCCTTTCTGCATCGTCACTGACTTCTTCTGAGCCGAGGCGAGATTGGGAGGAGGAGGGACGGGAGGAAGTGGCTTCTTCGTAGGTAGGGATGGGGAGGAATTCGTATTTTGATTTCTCGTCGCTCATTTCTGGCTTGTAATAAGTGGTGGAAACTGGGAAGCTCCGAACGACGGAAGGCCCCTGAGTTCCCTTACAAGGCGCAGAACTTTTCTTTTGGAGGTTATAATATTTAAGGGGGTCCGGAGGAGTGCGGGATCATGGTATGCTTCCTATCGTTGAAAAAGCAAAGTGCGGCATCGTCTGGGTAAAATCAACTTTCAAAGACCAAATACCCACTGGAGTCAAGCCCTGGTGTTGTCGTTGCGAGGTGACAGCGGGCGAGGTCGGTTTGGTCTGGAGTCTCAGAATCCTCCGACGGTTTGAGGCCACTAGCCGCAATGGTGGAGCATCATGCTTGGCGGCTGATTACATGATCGCTCATCGACATGATGGATCACTTGGAACGAAGAGCTTCTTGAATCTCCATCATACACTACACTGCGGGCGGTGTCATGGAGACGATAGCCAACCACTGGGATTGCTATCTCGAATTGTTCCTTATCTGCCTGTTCACACTTGTTGCCTCTTCCAAGTCCCTTTGTGAGAGATCAAAGCCTCCAAGAGCGCCATTTCTGTAGGCTGAAGGCAGATGACGCTTGCCCCACTTTCAACGTCAGTTATCGATGTCTTCTTGTTGCGATTTTCCTGTACAGATATAAATGCTGCTGATCGACTTGCGATGCTGGGCTGAGGCTATTTGCATGTAAATCCGTACCTTACTTTAGTTGTTTGACTTTCGTTGTGCAGCACCATGAGTTAACAGCATAGTGTGTCGGCCAGGTCAATGAGGCTATCCGTTGTCTCTTGCTGATGAGACTCATTTTTTTCTACCCCCTCCCATTTAACTACTTTCCATTCTATCTTGGATAGAGTCGTATAGTTTGATGTCATGTCTTTTGTTGAGAGACCTTTCGCACAACAGACAAGCTCACGAGGACTGGTTATGATTACACCAATATACGGCACAGTCCACACTTCCGAGGTTTATTTACATATTCATGGAGTTTACAAGTACATTCTTCATGTTACTCTTACGATGCCAGTTTTGTTATCTGGTTGGACGCAACAATATCTCAGCCTTGTTGATAAACTTGACTAATGAAGAGTATCACAACCAGTGGCACGATGATTTTCTCTTTGTCTTTTTTTTCCCTTCTTTCTTTCCCTCCCCCTCAATTTTTTTTTAATTTTTTTTTTTTTTTTTTTTTTTTTTTTTTTGGGAACACGATCGAAAAGCAAAGAAAACCCACTTATCTATCGTCGCACTATCGATTTGCTTTAAGCTGCCCCTGGCGCGTGCGTGGAGGGGATTCGGGCAAAATTGGGAAAAAAATCATAAGCGTGGACTTGTTTCTTTGACTGTCAGATTTTACGTGACAGCTTTAGTTATCGGTAAGAGTCTGATACCAGGAACCAAGTCCATGCCACCAAACACCATGATCTAGGGGCGATGCGGAAGGCAAGAAGCAACAAGCCTTGAACATCTATCGGCCAGTACCGGCGATGGTGGAGCTTTTATCGTAGTAAAAGCAAGGGTTGAAATACAGAATCCTGCGCTCCGGTGGGCCCCAAAGCCTTCGGATGATCAGATAAGAGAAACAGGTGATTTTGAGCATAAAAATGGAGCCCAACAAGCTCAATCTTGTTGGCATTTTTCCCTGATTAGGGAATTCTCTGGGGCAAGGAGCAACAGGGCTGGAGGTTGTATGGATGGGACGGTACGGTAAGATGGTTACTGTTTGATTGATAAGGGTGTATTGTACTGTCACCATGCTTAGCATCCAAAACTTCCCGAGATGATATGATTGATGGGTTGAAAGTAAGCAATTATGATCTTATTCTTCATTGCTAAAATCACAGTACTGGAGCTGGAGCTGTAGCAGTGCCTTAGTAGTCTTATTACTCCATGCGCTGATTGTTCCCTCTTTGCACAACGTCAATTGGAGGGGAGGCAACAGAGAAACGCTACGGAGTACAACTGTGGATGTCATGGATGCCAGCGAAGTCGAGGGTTGGCGTGGTGCGGCGTGGCTTGTTATGCACCAGGCTAGTAGCTCTAGCGGAAAGCATCCCAAGTCCTTCTCCACATCAGGGCTCAGACTCAGGAGAGAGAAGGGGGAAGGGGTGCTCAAATAAAAGCAATTACTTTACGGTACGATCCGTACAGAAGCTGCTCTCCATACAAACACAACAAGTGCAGCGGAGCCCAGAGCCTGCAAATGGTGATTGATTAACACCTTGGCACCAACTAGTTATATATCTCACCGCCATCGCCCACCTCCGCTGCCCATTCTTCCTGCGTTGTTTCACTGACTCTCTCCTCCGTATATATTCTTATTATTCGCATTGCATTCTCTTGTCCAAAAACGCTAGACCCATAGAGTTCTGCAGTGTATTGCCTATAGATAGTAGACAATAGGTGTGTTGTGTTGAGAACTCTCTTTTTCTGCCCCTATTTTACGGCCCAGCACAATAAATGGTTCTCCTCGCTCTCCAATGCGACTCGACCATCCAAAGTCCCACCGTGTCCAAGGTTCCACACACCCCCTGGCTCCCAGACCAGAGCTCCTTTTTTTCATAACCGCTTCTAACCCAGGCCTTGTCTTCCTATATGAGAGACAGATTGTGCAAATTAGTTACGAGTGCTTGCACAACCCTAAAAATATAAGAAAATACCCCCTCCGCGTTTCCCCCGCTCCACCAAGCATCCTTCATCTCCTCTCAAAATTTTATTATTTTTTGTGACTCTACTTTTCACGCGCAAACATGCCATCCCGCCCTCAGAATATCGGCATCAAGGCCATTGAGATTTATTTCCCATCTCAGGTACGTCTATACCCAGCCTGAACAGCCACAAAATGGTGTCTGACCGAGGGGATAATTGCAGTGCGTCGACCAAGCCGAACTCGAAAAGTTCGATGGAGTCAGTCAGGGTAAATACACCATCGGCCTTGGCCAGACGAAGATGAGCTTCTGCGATGATAGGGAAGGTATGAACCAAAGAAAAATCCCCGTCACATAGGCATGCACACAACGGTTTTGACCCTTTTTTTTTTTTTTTTTTTTTTTTTTTTTTTTTTTTTTTGGCTGAGAAATTTTGCGAAACAATAGACATCTACTCTATGTCCCTTACCACCCTCTCTTCCCTCCTCCGCAAGTATTCCATTGACCCCAAGTCAATTGGTAGACTCGAGGTCGGCACAGAAACCATCCTCGATAAATCCAAGTCCGTCAAATCGGTATTGATGCAGCTGTTCGCGGAATCGGGAAACACAAACGTCGAGGGTGTGGACACGGTAAACGCGTGCTACGGGGGAACCAATGCGATTTTCAACTCGGTAAATTGGGTGGAATCGTCCGCGTGGGATGGCAGAGACGCCATTGTGGTTACTGGCGATATCGCCCTGTATAAGAAGGGGGCTGCTCGCCCAACTGGTGGCGCTGGCTGCATTGCCATGCTTATCGGGCCCGATGCGCCTATCGTCTTCGAGCCCGGTCTCCGCGGTTCCCACATCACCCATGAATACGATTTCTACAAGCCAGACCTCACCAGCGAATACCCTTACGTCGACGGCCACTACTCAATCAAATGCTACACGCGGGCCGTTGACTCCTGTTACAAGGCCTACAATGCCAAGGAGAAATTCTTGCAAGCCAGGGCACTGCAAAATGGCAGCGCTAATACAACCGCCGTAAACGGCAGCACCGCCAGCAACGGCGAATCCACCTCCAACACCAACACCCCCCTAGACCGCTTCGACCACGTCATCTTCCACGCACCGACCTGCAAGCTCGTCGCCAAGTCCTACGCCCGCCTGCTGTACAACGACTACCTCGCTGACCCAGCCCACCCGGCCTTCGCAGAGGTCCCCGCCGAGCTTCGAGATCTGGACTATGAAGCTTCCCTCAGCGACCGGGCCATCGAGAAGGCCTTCATGGCGATGACCAAGAAGCGCTTCAACGAGCGCGTGCAACCCTCCATCGAGGTGGCGACGATGTGCGGGAACATGTACTGCGCAAGCGTCTACGGAGGTTTGGCCAGTTTATTGACGAACGCGTCGTTCGAGAACGCGGCGCAGCACCAGAAGCGGATTGGGGTCTTCAGCTATGGCAGCGGGCTCGCGAGCTCCATCTTCAGCGTGAAGGTTGTGGGCGATATTTCAGGGATTGTGGAGAAGATTGATCTGAAGAAACGCCTTGCGGCGAGGAGGACTGTTGCGCCGGAGGTCTACGACGAGGTACGCGATGCAATCCGAATTCTTTCTCCATACATTCTCTCTTTCCTCTCAGTGTTTCTTACAACTACTACTGTAAGCTTTTAAAATAACACTCTAACCAAATCACATTTTGCTTTTAGATGTGCGTCCTACGCGAAAATGCTCATCTTAAGAAAAACTTCACGCCCGCCGGAAACATCGACACCATCACACCCGGAACCTACTACCTGGTCAAGGTGGATGATATGTTCCGACGAGAGTACCAGATCAAGGCATAGGTAGCATCACCATCCAGCAAATACCCAACATACCTACATCCCCTACGGTATTATTATCATGACATGTTAAAGGGAGGTGAATGAGGGGTAGTTCGGTTTCAGAACCCAACAGAGGATTCTTTATTATATAGCTTCTCTTTTTCTCTTTCTCCTCTCATATATTTTTTCGTTAATTTATTAATTCATTTTCTTTCTTAATTCAGTTTCTTTTGTTTCTTTTTCTTTTTTTCATTTGGGACACCATGTCATACATAATAACACTTCATTTATTTTATCCCCCTTCAACTCAACGGCAAGGAGAGGGGAAAGGGGGTTCTGGGAGGTTGCAGATATATAGACATGAAGATGATTGAAGAAGAGGTCGAAGAGGTTGAAGAGGTGGGGAAAAACAAGAGGGGGAGGGGGTGTTGATGTTGAAATCGCATCTTGCTCGCACTTGCGCAACTATTGTTTTTTCAATGTGGTGTATTCATTTGAGTTCTCTCAAGAAAATCCCAAGGAGATAACTTATCTGGTTTTCTTTTACTTGTCGTCCTCTCTTTCTTTCTCTTCCCTCTTTGCCTCCTTCATTTTATAGAGGGGTTTGGCGGATTTGGCGGATTGATTAATCGGGATCTATGATAGAAAATGCTATAGAAAAGAGGAAACATTCGTTCAACTGTTTTTCTTTTCCTTAATGTGATTTCTGTACACAATGGGGGTAGATTTTCTTCCCCTCATCGCGTAGAAGACGTAGGGGGAAATCGACATTGAGATATGTGACGGATGCGTGTTCTTGCTTCGTCAACTCTGATCCCGAGTAGGCATTTCCATTTCGTCTCTGTTCCTGAAGGTTCCATCGTGTCTCTTGAATTTCCTACCTTCCGCGCAGAGGTGACTAACGCGCCCCCCTTTGACCGCTCCTTGGGGTGGCAGGATGAATTGAATGTACAGACTGGAAAATCTTTTTCTCTCCCTGGAACCAAACCCACCGTTGCTTGTCATATCCGATCCCAACAGAATCCTGAAACGAGTTTCATGATGCTGTTCAGTACCGCCTTGGGCGCAATGGGACTTCATTGATTCATGGGTGAATGCTCAACGCTGATACGCGCACAGCAGCGTGCTAGCAGAAAACGAAAGCTTCTTTCCTCTCGCTTTTGCCCTGCTTGCACAGGGTATGAGTCACTGATAGTTGATCCAGGAGTTCAGCAGAGATGAAACATGTTTTTTGAACAGGTGTAAGCAGCAGCGTGAACCAATAGAACTGGCTGACGCGCTGGAAATGCTGCCAACGTGCAACAGCAATGGAACGGTGAGAGAAGTAAAAAAGGGCGCCAGCGGCCCTAGTTAGCTCAAGTGGCGTCAGGGTCAGGATTGCCCATCGCGCGCGCGAGCGAGATAGTCGTGTGAACCCAAGCAGATACTGAGATATGTTTCAAGAAAAAGTTTCAAGTGTTGACCGCCCGAACAGGCAGGTTAGGGCTAGGGCTGGGATGAATCACACGCGTTTGAGCCTCACTCTGCTGGCGCTGGCCAACCACCATCGTCAACGCCGTGATCTGGAGCAAACGCGTTGTTGTTGACCCGTTTGGGCCTTTGGGGTCTTGGGGCGTCTTTGGGGGATCCGGTAGCGCCGGCCCACAGCCAGAGCACAGTTGGTGGCACCCACAGACCAGTCAGCTTGCTTGCCGCTGTGATACCTCTCCCGTTGTCGCTCGTCCGTGCAGCAGAGCCCCCTTATGGAGCACGACAGTGGGCCAACGCTGGCCCCCCCCGCCTATGTTGGGGATGGAACCCCCTCTGAGGGGGCCAAGCTGGAACTGCAGAAAACGACCCCCATTTTGCAGTTCGTTGCCAGTGTTTGGGCACACCGGGCATCTCACTACCCAATGGGCAGGGCCGTCCACCACCACCGCTGCTCTTCCCACCCCACTCGAAATAGAACAAGAGCGAAATCTCCCACTTTCTCTGGTGATTTTTCACCCGGCTTTGATTCAGTCTGTTCTGTGCCCTTTCTGTCCCAGTTTTGTTTGTCGCCAGCTCTGTGCTGGCGCTTAGAGATTACTCCAGTCTCAACAACCGCCGTGTGCCGGAAATAGATCCCCAGAGCTCTTGCAAGATGCTGCCAAATATAACACTTCCCTCAATAATAATTCACGATTCAGCGACTATGCAGCTCATAATAGCTGTCGTGATCAACCTGATACACAAAGCTTGTCCCTTTTGTCCCTCCCTTCGCGTTACGCTATCCCCATCCCCATTGCCCTTACCGCCCCGCCCTCCAATCCCCTTCCCCCTTCGCGTCCTTGTTCCTCAGTATCGCGCGAGCTCTCCCCACTGGCATCCGAAAAAGAAACCATGCCATTCCCAAACAACCCCCTTAGGCGCGATGTGATGGATCTAGGAATGTTTTATTTTATTTTTATCTTCTGCTTTAGTATCGTGTTTCCTATTATGGATTATTTGTCGCCATGTAGCTTTGTTTCATGTTGCTCCATCTAGATTGCATCGGTGCGATACGATGGATGCGTCTACTCCTTTGTCGCGACACGTCTGTTTGAGAGAGGATTTAATACCCAGCTCGATCCTCTCTCAAACCCTCTTCAGAAATATTCAATCAGTCATTCAATGATCAATCAATCTACTTGTCTCGATTATCTTGAGCCTGACATTTGTTCCAGCTGTTTATTGGCCTCTCCCCTTCCTCCTACCTATCTCATCCCTACTATATCATTTCCGAATGTGTTCCTCAAATTAAATATACACCAATTCAAAACTTGAGCTCTTTGCTTGTTTCGTCTTTGCTGGCGAAGACATCCTTTTTTGGAAATTTTGTTTTGCTGAAGAGCAAGTAGGTTTTGGTGAATTTTCAATATCAATTTGCTCCCTTTTTTTTGTATGTTGACCCCCACCTCCACAAACCCCCCCCCCCCCCGCCGAAAAAAAAAAAAAAAAAAAAAAAAAAAAAAAAAAGACTTTGCTATACCTTTGGACTTGACCCCTGACGCAATGGCGCAGAAACAATGCCTTCGGAATTATATTACTACAGGCCATCAACGCCTCCCGCCATGATGGCTACCAGCCATTTTAATGGTCGATATAATATGCATGTCCGAGCAGACTCGAGTTCCTCAAATAACTCGTCTCCAGACTCTGTCGTCACCAATCTCACTACCCCAAATTTGTCACCAGTCATCCGCCAGCATGGGCCAGCTCTTCTACCAAAGATCAGACCCCAGGACCTTATAGTTGAGCCTGTCTCCTCTAGCGGGCCTATTCGTCACCGCAAGGGCCAGTCAACCATCCGCAAACCCACCGTGTACACACCTTACCCAGCTAGTCGATCTCAGATGCGTGGGTCTTTGACCTCACCAATTGATTGCTCCCTTATTTCGCGGAAGGTTCAACTTCTTCTATGCTGGGCCATCGCGCCCCCCCTAGAACGCTCTTCACC